CACAATGATCTCCAAATAAAATCAAAGATGTGCAATGTTTGCCAAAATTAAAATGAGGCACAAAATGAGCCCACAATATATTTAGTTATTTCCTCTATATCTCTAATTCTTAGAAATATATATACATTTGACAATAAACTTCAATTATTAAATTTGAATCAATATGATTTTTATTTAATTTTAGCTATAATTATTCTTTTTCAGATTTTTGCTCTCTAGAACGAACATTGAATTTGATCACCTATTCTTATATTTTTATTTTTTATTTTAAAATATGAGTTTAAAAAGAGTTTTTGCTTCAGGAATTTAATATTGTCTTGCAAATTTTTAAATTTATGTTCCTTATCAGCTTTTTAGATCTGTCAATACTAGCTTTCATATTCAGAGAATTTTTTATTTTCTTTCCTTTTTTGTTGATGTCAAAAGGGGGAGGTTATTGTTTGTTTGAAGTCTTCTGGTTTGTATTTTTTTTGTGTTCTTTTTTTGATTTTTTGTTCTATATCAAAATGCTCTCAGGGGACGTTATTTTTTTGTCTTCATTAATGGTAATGGTTTTCTTGTTATTTGTGTTGTACTAATTTGTTTTGTGTTTATTTTTAAAATTCAAAATTAAAAAGAGGGATGAAATTTTATTTATCCCCATGTTTTTTAGTTTTCATTCATTTAGGGGGAGTTTAAGAGAAAATAATTTTATTTTATTATTCAAATAATAATTTTTTCCCAATCATTAAAAAGGGAGAAATTATTGTAAATTAGTAATCAAGATTGAGATTGTGATTTTTTATAATAACAAAATATTATTGTTATGATTTTTTTTTTTTCTAACATATAATGGATATTTTTGGTTGTTTCTGTGAGTACTAATATTTCAGCGAAATCATATACTACTCCAAATTGTTGAAGACTTCAAGACTAGATAAAATATAATTTTATGTAAAAGAATCTGTATATCTTTGGTTTTTTTTCTTGAGTCTAAGCAAGTATAATTTTGATTTGGTAACCATGCACACACATAAGAAGGGATTAATACTTTTTTAATTGATCGTATTGTACGATATGTAATTGTACTATACAATTTGACTTAGTTTTTCTCAAGAATATGGTTATTCAAATCATGGCTTGATTTTCTTAACTGATCGTATTGTATGATGTCAAGTCATATAAATGACTAGTAGTGTACAAAATTTTGTTCGTACCATATCGTACTATATGAACTTGATCATTTTTGAACTGTTTATATTATACGATATGCAGTCGTACAAATGACTAATAGTGTATAAAATTTGGTTTGTACCAAATCTTACCATACAAACTTGTTCATTTTTTGAATTGACCGTACTATACGTTGTCAGGTCATATAAATGACTAATTGTGTACAAAATTTGGTTTGTGCCAGATCGTAATAAACGATAGATAGTTATTTTTAACGGTTCGTACTGTATGATGTCAATTCATACAAAAGACTGACAGTGTACGAAATCAAGTTCATACAAAATCAAGTTCATACTTGATCGTACCATATAAATTTGTTCATTTTTGAACTATTCATACTATACAATACCAAGTCGTATATATGGCCCATAATATATGAAACTAAGTTCATCCCAGTTTGTACTAAATGAAGCCATGATTTTTGAACTGCTCGTACCGAACGATATAGGATTGTACAATACAAATCATCGACTGTTCTCTTGAAAAATTAAGTTTTTAGATGGGTTTTCATGTGCTTTCTATAAATAAAGTCCTAAAACTATCATCCCAATCCTTTGCTTCAAATTTTCTCTTGAGAATGACTATAGGCAGTGTTTGAGAGAGATTTTTAGATTTGAGAGTGAGAGATCTAGTGAGAGTGAATTACGAGGGATTCACAAGGTTGCTCAAAGTGAGGATCTCTTTATACTTGTTGCAATTTTCTCTCAATTTCATTGGAGTCTCTTGAGAGAAGATCTTCAAGACTGGATCAAAGTTTTCTGCCTTCACCAGGAGTGTGAAAAAGAATTGATGGTTCTCTGCCTTCTCTAGTTGGTGAGAAAGGACATGTAGGTAGTCTGTTTTCACCAAATGGGTGAAAAAGGATGAGAAGGTATGCTGCCATCACTTGGAGAGTGTAAAATGTGATGGTTCTCTACCGCATCGTGTTAGTGGAAGAGAGTTTTATAAGGGCTTCTCCGCCTTATTATGGGGGCAAAAAGAGAGTCATTATTGTTTAGTGCAATATCAGAAAGAGTCTCTAAGGAGTGGATGTAGATCTAGCTGGACCGAACCACTATAAAATTTGGTGTTCTTCTGTTACTTTTTTTTCCTACATTTTATTTCATTGCTTTTTATATTTGTGGTTAAAAGATTATCCGTGAAAATCATTTCTATAAATAACTGCATATTTCAAGATTAGTGTTTTAATTTTCTAAAAAGATTCTAAAGAGGTTTCCCAAAATCTAAGAAAATTTTTAAATAACTAATTCACTCCCTCCTTTTAGTTAGCCTTGTGACAGTTCTATAAGGTCTAACAACCTACACAAACTTTCACATGCAACTACTAAACAAAGTGCATTGCGCAGGTCAAAGTGTGTAAACATGTATGATTATGTAGAAGACTAAAAATAAGTAAACATATAAATAGAATATGTCCTTTGAGCAAGGCATTTGTAAGCATACTAAAATAATCACCTTCCTAGCCTAAGCTAAAGTCAATTGTCCTAACAAACCATTTACAGTGTGTGATAAATAGAAGAAGAAGATGAAGAACCAACCAACACTTCTTTGAAAGAATGAGATTTCCCCTCAGAAAAAGAGGAAGTCGACGGATTAGATGACGACGAAGTCGTCATCTCCCAGAACCCAAAAATCGGAAAAAAACCTCAAATGAGGTCAACAATAGTAGTTAGTGGAATTCTTATGGAGAGGACATAGGGAGTGGACATAGGTCATGTTGATTGAACCACAATAAAAATTCTACTTTGCTTCTTTCTTTTCTGCATTACATTACTTTTTGCATATTTTTATTTGATGGTTAGAATTACTCTATATTGGAACAAAATTTTTTTCAAAAAATAACTAAAATTTTCCTTGTGATAAATTTAATTTTTGTTGAAAATATTATATTAAGTTCCCTTACCTCAAACTTATTTTAATATAATATTAAAAAAATCAAAATTTTAAAATCAATAAATTATTTTACTTATGCTATTACTCTGTTGAAATTATTGTAACAAATTTTCAAAGATTTTTTTTTTTTTAAATTCATCCAATTCATCTCACCTCTTGGCTATGCTTAGTCACTTTCACTTTCCATCCAACAATTGGGTTAGGCTGAAAGTATTTACTAATAAATATTGTTATAGGAATAATCATATAAGCATTCATAGCACATGGTGTAATTTTAAGAAAATTAAGGGTAGTTTGAATTCCAATATATATAGTTGGAAAGTATGGAGCTTTAAAGGTGATAGAAACTATATCAATTTGAATAGAAGAATCAACTTGAACAAGTATCTAATTTTAATACGACATTCAAGATTTATATCTTGTGGATTAAAATTCATATCGTTTTAATTTGGCTCACAAGAGTTATTAATTGACATTTTACCCCTCAAACGTTTCAGTGAATTCCCAACTTCTATAATTTTTTCATGAAATTAATTTATGCATTAACCAAATCTCTCATAGCATCATTAATAAAGATAAAATATTAGTAAATTGAGACATCTAGTTATTTTTCAGGCAGTTGATGGGTCGTGGTAGAAGAGCTCACACATTATGGGCCCAAATAAGAGCTCATCTAAAGATCAACAAATTCAGCTCTACAAAGGATACAACAAGAAGCCACCTCCTATGTGAATAATTCGAGATCCTAGCAAATCGTTGAACTCACCACTCAAACTTAACAAGGAACTTACCATCAATCTGCTCGCATCTCTACCATAGTGGGGGAAGGTCATTGTTCTCGCCATTGCCTCAACTACAAGAAAAGGTGCTTATTCAAGAGCTTTCGGCTAGCCCTTCCTCGATCAACAAGCTATGGAGCTACTCTACCCTACAACATAAGTTTACTTGCTTCTCCTTTTACAAGGCAAACCAGAGATCCAACAAAAACCCGGAATGGACTACTGAGTACCCACCATCATCAATCTCCTTTGTTCAAAACTCACCAACATACTCACTTAGACTAGCTCATTTATACGTACTTGATACTATTGAGCTCATCCAATAGCAGATGAATTAAGCTTAAGGAGGGTCACATCAGATGTCAACAAGTTAGAGGGTAACATATGTATATGGCTGTCTGTATAGTCCTAGTCATTGCATTTTTATTTCATTTTACTCATGTAGCCATTCTTGTTCTCAAAACTCTATAAATAAATGGTGAAAAAGAATATTTTTTTTAATGTTTTGCATTTTTTTGTACTCAGTGATACTTATATAATATATGTTGGAGCTAATGCACCCTCTCTCTCCTCTCTCTCCATCTCTTCATTCTCAACAATTTCTTAGTGAAACTCATAGAGCTTGCCTGCAAGATTGGTCACATATCGCCCACAAATATATTTGAATTCAACAGTTGTTACTTATAGGGGTCGCAATAGCTTAAAGAAATTAACATCTCGAATTTATTTTTTTCATGATTGGTATATATATATATATTGAAGCCTTTGTCACTAATAATGGATTAATTTCTACTCTTTGTAGCATGAGTCTGATAAAGTTTGTATCCAATAGACATTTTTTGGGTGACTATTGGAGGCCGTCACTATCCCTTAGGGTGCCAGAATGTTGTGAAATTGATTTGCTAGATTCATCTTTTTAAAACATTTTATCATACAATTATTTTATTGGATTCTGAAAAAACAATTAAAAAAATTAATTTTTAATAACTTCTAAATATAAAAAATTATAAGATATAGATATTAAAAAAATAATTGAAAAAATTCTAGCCGCCCAACACTAATCCCACGTTTTCTGAGATACCTATACGGTTGCATCCAATTTGAAAAAAAGTAACCAGCTCAATAGACGATTGCACCCATAGGCGTGGCGAGCAAGGAACGACGAGCATTCTATCGGTACGCCCTACTGTACCTGAAAAACCGCGTGCCCCGAGGCGATGCGCCGAAGCTGTGTAAGCCGGTGGAGTAGCTGATTAGGCGCTGCTTAGTCACCCGAACTGCAGCCTTGGACCCCGGCTCGTGGTTAGGCTAACTTTCCCGCCAACAGCCGCTTCATAATTTTTTTTTTTTTTTTAATTTTTCGATATACTTTGGTTTGCGGGTCAAGCGGAAGACTTCACTCTCTCTCTCTCTCTCCTGAGTCCTCGCTTAGCTGTCGGCGCTGCTCCTGTTTTACTTAAGCACAGAGCTCGCTGTTACTCCGCCTTCGGCCGAGCTTGAGGAATGGCGAGGCAAGTTTTATCGGTGTAAACCCTAGAATACTTCCATTGCTTAAAGATTTTTATGATTTTATCATTTTTGTTTTGGATTGTTTGGCAAACATAGGTGTTTAGGGAAAGCTTGATTGTGTGTTTGCTTTTATCGTGGAGGGTGCTATGAATAAAATGGAAATTTAAGCTTAGAGGGCTTTGCTTTGGAATTTATGAAAGTAAGGTTAAGGAAAAGACAAGAAATTAAAATATTCCAAGTCAATATCAAAATCAAGTTAAAAGTTGCTTGAATTTCATTTCTTTTCACTGTAATGTCATCCGAACATAGCCTTAGGAGCAGCTTGCCCCATTTTAAGCTATTGAAGGATGAAGGTTCTAAAAGTTATAAAGTTGGATTTGATGGCTTCAGTGTTACTTTTTAGTTATGACTTTGATATGGGTCATTGGAACTTAGAGGCAGTTCAGTGTTCGTATATCTACATTTTAAAATGTCAGTGTTATTGGGTTGCAAGTGTTCTCACTCAAATAATTTTTTTTGGGGAACTTTTGAGTCAATTAAGACAAATTCACAGGTGCATCACATACACAAACTTCAAACTCAAGATCTCTCGCTCTCAACAAACAGATCAAGATGAGCTGTCTCACTCAAATATTAATTGTTTTGTTCAGTCTTTGTTGGTCAAAAGATGTCAATGCTATACATATAACAATAGCTTGATTCAGTGTTATCTCTGAATTCCAGTACACCTGTATAAGATTACAATATTTTATATAAGCAATTGTTTATTCGATGAAAGTAAAATCACCTGAAACAACAACACTTTTTCTTGAGGCCCTTGCTACTCGAAACTACAGCAAGAGCGTAAGGTTTTGCTGTTGCGAAAATCATGAACATCTGCATTTTTTGTTTACCTGAAAATGTGGTAGTTGAAGATGGGGTTGGAAATTTTTATTTTATTTTGAATAGAGCTGAAAATAAATCAACGCTAAAAATGGAAAGACTTATGTAAAATAGAAAAGTTCTATTACAAATGGATTATTTGATAGACAAGAAATGCTACTCAATTTCAATTGCTCACAACTTTGGGTCCTATAAACACAAACAATCTGCATAATGCTTTCCTCATGTCTAGCTCATCCTACATAACTGTTCATCCTCCTTTCTTGGCTACGGTCATTCCTCTCCATATAGAATTTAATGGTATGAAAATAAGACATTTTGACAGTTTTTAAAGAAAAAAAAGGAGCTTTTGTGGGGCAAAGTGTAAGAAGGAGATTGAAGGAGGTAAAATGGGGGAGAAGGGATGTAAAACAAAAGGAAAAACTTGCATGTCGTGGATGACTTTGTCATTGGAACTATCGAAGAATAGAGATTGTTGATGGTGAAGTTTGCATATTGGATATGCCAACAATAAGAATGATTTGGGTAAATGCTATAAATGTTAGTGATCATCACAATTATGAATATGAGATTTGGGAGATAATAGTGAGATGTCATGACTTATAAATGCCACTCAATTTGAACATGTAGAGGTCTTTGAATTATGTCACACTTGTCACTTATGAATTGTTATCTCATAACAAAATAGCATAATATTATAGATTTTAATAAACCAACTAATTACCTTTTAGAGTAGGATAAGTGAAAGAGTAGTCATTGTTCAAAATGTGGCTACAAGTTTAACATCGTATATATGACTTTTTTTCAACTATGACTAGATTTTTAAGCTTCATTTTAGGTCCTCTATGATGTGTGGAAGAGATGATATTGTTGTTATTTTCTTATCTTTGAATGCCTTATTAATACAAAGGTATGACATTTGTGATTTCATCTTAGATCATGTCTATCCTATTTATCTTTTTCATGTAGCTCATGCCTTATAAAATGTTATTTTCCTTATGTGTAAGGGGCTGTTTGGTTGCCTGCAAAAGGAGTGTAAAGTATTTCAAATGCAGGAGTTTTGAGAATATTGATGTTTGGTTTGAAGTAAAACAAATATAATGTAAAATTTTTGTCATTTGGAATTCACAATCTAGTTCATTTTTGATGTATTTGGAATTCCTCATATTTGGGTGAGCTCCAAATATACTGAAAATTCATTGCAATTGTTGTTGCCTGCTGCCCGCTTCCACCATGTGCCGACCGTTGACCACCGCCGGCCACCCCGATTGCCACCTCCATCAGCCACCACAATCCTCTGCCTCCTGCCATCTCCCGCCGTCAGCTGTCGCTGAGCACTTCCACCAGCTGATACTATCGTTGCCCACAACCGCTATCCACCATCGCAGTCGCTGGCCATTGTCTACCACCACTGACCATGGTTTAGAAGCTTTAAAACACTATCCTATAGGTTAGGTTTAACTTAGGGAATTCATTTTAAGAAACTTTAGGGCATTTGGGGTATTTTAAGGTGTTTAGGGTTTGACCATGATTCAAGGTTTGACTATGGTTTGGATTGAGCTTCGGAAGTGTCTAGTTTTAACTTAGAACATTTATAATCCAATGCCAAGTTTTAGGGTGGCTAGGTTGACCAAGAAATTAATGTGGAAAGGCTTTAGGTCATAAAAGTATTTTAGGAAAAGTTAGGTCAAACTTGGTCAACCAAAGTTGACCATATCAAGCCCCACACCAACCCAACAATTAATAGTCGATGCAGAATGCAATAAGGGGATATTGAAAAATATTTTCCAGTACACTTCAATGCAATTCATGCCCTGTAAAGTATACTATTGTAAAACACATCATAACTTAAAATATTAAACACATGCATAAACTGTCCAAAGTTTCATTTCAAAAAATTTTCATGTTTAGAACAGCTATAGAAAAGAAATCAAAACATGTAAATTTTAATAGACTACTAACTTCCATCTAGACCTTCATTACAACAACAACAACAACATCAAGCCTTTATCCCACTACGTGGGGTCGGCTACATGAATCCTTTTTCTCCATTGTGTCCTATTAAAAGTCAAATTCTCGTTTAAATCTAATAAATAAAGGTCATTCCTAATATTTTCTAACCAAGTCTTTTTAGGTCTATCCCTACCTTTCTTAACATAAGTCAAATCTAATACCTCTACTCTCCTAACCGGGTCATCGCAAGGCCGCCGTTTTATGTGACCAAACCATCTAAGGCGACTTTCTCTAATCTTATCTTCTACTGGAGCTACTCCAACCTTTTCACGTATATGCTCATTTCGTATCCTATCTCTAAGGGTAAAGCCACTCATCCACCTGAGCATCCTCATCTCTGCCACACTTAACTTAGTATTACAATGACAAAAATAAATTTAAAATAACAACTAAATGTGGCCCTATTCTGGTTGAAATCTAGTTCATTTTTGAGATTACACTGCCTCTATAGCTTGTAGGCTTTATAGCCTGTAGGCCTTTTATCATAGCTCGTAGGCTTTTTTATATAAGTTACACTGTGGGTTGCACTGCCCCTACTTGCCTGTCACCTAACATGATATTTTCTTAGGCTTATCTAATTGTTATTTTTGCCTATATATGTTATTTGTCCCTCAACTATGTATAAGTTTATATATTCAAATGAATCAATATTGTTGTACATTATATAAGTGTATAAGAAAATTTAACTGGATGGTTTACATGTCTCAAATTAGAATTTCTTCCTTGTCAAATTTGGGTTTTACAATTCTTTTCTTATTAGAATTTCGTCCTTGAATTTCTCCTTGTTTATACTTTGTCAAATAATTGAGGGAATTTCTATCTTATATTCACTTCTCTTCTAGGTAGTCTCTTTCATTGATCAATGCTTCCATTTTATTTTCACATATAGATTTGTTATGCTCCTCATTTTACAAACATCAAATTCTAGATCTTCTCAGGTTCCTCTGAATATGTTAGTTCACTATGTATCTCAATGTCATCATGTGGAATCCTCCGATGATCATCTATCACTCACCCTTTAAGCATAAATATATGAAATATATTGTGTACATCAAACATATCTTGATGCAATAAAAAAAATACAATTAAGATTGCAAATAAAAAGTCTTCCTTAAAACATAAACATAACAAACTTACAAACATATAGCTTATATTAATTTAGAGAAGAAGGATACAAGTGAGGCGGGAACCATGGATAGAGAAGAAGAGCTTAGAAGTCCAAGATGAAATATAAGAGGAGAAGGGGAAAGAAGACTTAGCTCGTAAGCTAAAAAACCCACAGGTTTTTACATTCCAAATATTTTCACACCAAAAACCTTCTTAAAACAACAGCAAACAACCCCTATATATAGGGAAAAGTCAATAAATGCAGGAAATAAATACACCTTTTATCCAACCACTAGGAACACGTAAAAATAACAACAAAAGCTAAGGGACAACAACCAAGAGGGGGGAAATCGAAGTAAACATCACATAGGAATTCCAAACAGCACATAGGGAAGTCTAAACATCACACAAGGAAGTATAATCAGCACATACAACACCTAGGGAGTAGCAAGCAACACATAGGAATTCCAAACAACACAGGGAAGTCTAAACAACGCACAAGGAAGTATAATCAACACTTACAACTCTAGGGAATAACGAACAACACATAGGAATTTCAAACAATACCTTGATCGCATCAATTCTCCCATGGTGGAGAATTCTCATCTCTTGATGAGATCGCTCTCAAACTTCTATCATGCGCAGACTGAGCTATATCCAACTTTTGTGCAAGAACCGCATACCTTCTTTGAATAATTTCTTTTTCCTGATTAAATTGGGCTTGATGTTGACTCTTTCACTTCTCATATCTTTTAGCGCACAAAAACATTTTTTCTTCAATTTTGTATAGCTTATTCTGGATTGGATTGGTAGAATTTCCTTGGGACGGGACCCATTTGCTTGTTGGAATTTGGACTTTAAGATCACTTGGCTGATTTTCATCAAAAATAGATTCTATTACATCATGATTGTCCATTTTTATTTTAATTTTGTCTAAAGAAAAATAAAGGAAGACATTAAAACCTAAGCCTCTGATACAAAATTGATTCAATAAAAAAAGCACAATTAAGATTGCAAACAAAAAGTCTTCCTTAAAACATAAAACATAACAAACTTATAACCATAAATCACTTAAAATAGCAATTTGATGGTGTGAGGGTCCCCTTTTGTATTGATAGATGTTTATTTGGATGACTTGAATTTATCACTTAGCAATTGTATTTCCTACTTGATTGTATGTTTTTTAATTTAAATTTTGATTCCTTATATTTTAGTTTAGATTCAATTCCAAATGGCTCATTAAAGTTCAAGTTCTTATATTCATGTTGAGTGCAAGTCTGGTTCGAGTTTGAGTCTAAGTCCAACACTATTTGATCGAATTTGATTTAAAATTGATTTCATGTTTGAATTATGTTCAAATTAATTTCAATTTTTTTGTCCAAGTCACTTGTTGTTTATTGAAAATTTCGGCAGCCTCCCGGCATCCCCTCCCCACGAAGGGAGGTAGGGGAGGGCACTTGCCCTTTTGGCTCGACTCGACCAGATCAAATCGATGGCGAGGAGCTCGGTAGAGCGAATCAATCTCTTTAATAGTCTTCAATGATCCTTGTTGAGCACAACGTGTCGATTACGTGACTTATTTTAATTATAAAAGATATTTTATTCCCCATGAAATTCCGACAGCCTTCCGGTGCCCCTCCCCTCACAGGAGGTTGGGGAGGGCACTTGCCCTTTTTAGCTTAACTCAGCCGGATCAAATCGATGACGAGGAGTTCGGGAGAGCGGATTGATCCCGATATAATCTTTGATCCACTCGACCGGATCAGATCGACGGTCAAGGGCTTCGGGGGACCTAATCAACCCTGGGACTTCCTTCAAATCTTCTCCTGCTGTGATATTATTTGATTAATTTTATTTAATTTTATTTTGAATTATTTTTATTCCCTCGAAAATTTGGCAGCCTTATGGCGCCCTCTCCTTGTGAGGGGAGATTGGGAAGGGCACTTGCCCTTTTGGCTCGACTCGATTGGATCAAATCAACAGTGGGGAGTTTGGGGGAGCGAATCGACCCCAAAAAGAGTCTCAAGTCTTCAATCCCTCGGCCGGATTAGATCGATGGCCAAGGGCTTCCTTCAAATTATCTTGCTGTTTTGGTAATAATTTAAAAATTTCTTCTCCCCCTTTTTTATTTCATCTTATCTTATTGTAATATATATATATATATATATTACTATAAAATTTATTTTAAATATATTAGACATTTAAGAGTAAATACAAAATTATTAAAAATATTTTAAGACATTTCATTTTATTATATCAAATAATTATTTATTATTTGAATCATAATCATTCTCTCCAGTCTGAATTTAATTATGCTTAAGCTTAAATTAGGAGTGACTCAAACTCAACTTATCCATAGTAAAAGTAAAAAGTAAAAAAGATCAATGAATTAACTCGGTTCTACAACAGGCTGAAGAGCTTTAGTTCCTTACGGCTAAGGTCAGTCGTGTTGGATGCAAGCATATCGACGAATGCGGCAAGGAATAGGGTTGAGTTGGGTCAACGGTGATCGCAAGCCTAGATCAAAGGCTGGAGTTGGCAGGGCGGCTCAGAGATGGAGGCGACGATGGCAGGCCAACGAGCTCAGTTGGTTAGGGTAAAGCAACGAACGAGGGCACATGTACGATTTCTGGACTCTTCCCTTGCGTGCGTGAGTTTCTATGTGCGTAAGAGTTCTAATAGGGTGTATTTCTGTTTTGTGTCATGCGTGTGGGTGGTTACGCGAGGAGTGGGGAGCAGTTGAGTGTGATCGTTCACCGGTCGTGGGTCTCCAACAATTAGAGGTCAACAAAATGATAAATAACATTTCCAACTCTTTGAATAATTTTGGATGGCCCAATATATCTTGGACTTAGTTTTCTTTCTTGGCCAAACCTAGAAAAGCCTTTCAGAGGTCTAACATTCAAAAACACAAATTCTCCAAATTTGAATTCATTCATTTTATGTTTGTGCTCATAGTTCTTATGTTGACTATCTTGAGCTGCCTTGAGGCTATCCCTGAGCTATATTATTTTCTAACTAGTTTGATCCACCAATTGTGGCCCTAACAATTGTCTTTTTCTAACTTCCACCCAATACAGAGGAGTTCTACATTTTCTTCATACAATGCTTCATATGGAGCCATTTGGATGCTAGATTGCTAGCTATTACAAATAAGTAAATTCTATCAAAGGCATGCGATCTTTTCAGCTACAACTAAAATAAAAAACACACAATCTCAGTAAGTCTTCTAGTACTTGAATAACTTTTTCCAAATGGCCATCATTTTATGGATTAAATGTGGTACTGAAATTCAATTTAGTACCCAAACTTTCATGAACACCATTCCACAGTCGGGATGTAAATCAACCATCTTTGTCTGATGCAATAACTCTAGGAGTCCCATGTAATATGATAATTTCCTTAGCAAAAAATTTTTTTGTATAACAACTTGGCTCTCAGCCTTTCCCTACACAACTCAACTTTTCTACTTGCATTGAAAATAAATTTGTATTCCCTTTTGTATGATCGATTGTCCTCTTTATCCTAACTCAAAAGCTAGGGCCGTGCCTTCGGATAAGGATTGAGGCTTTATTGTACCATTTCACTTAATATGTCTATTTTAATTATGAAGACTTTTAAACAGTGTAAAATATTAATCATCATAATTTTGATTATCTTGGAAAGAATTAATAAATTTTAAGTTTTGTTACATTTCAAACTCCATAATCTTGCTAAATAATTTTAATCAAAGCATCCAAAGACAATTTAAAAACTTGCAAGGTTAGATTACCTTAAATTTGTAGCATTCAAAACTTAGGAATAATTTAAGCTTCTTTGATATGTATTCCATTTGTGTTTTAGTGCTTGCATTCTTATCTATAATTGGATAATAAGCCGTTCATCACTTTCCATCTTTTCGTGAACTCATCATCTTTCTTCCATAGGATTTGATATTCTAGAACTAGTATCTTTTACACTTGCATATGGTTTTACATATTTTGTGTTATTTATTTTTGTTTATCCAACTTTTAATATCTTTTCACATCACCCCATTAAAATTATCATAATGGAACACTAAATCATATTCCAATTACTAGCACGCATCTCTCCAATAAAGATAATTTTACCTCATTGTCAAACACCCTAGGGAATGTCCTGGGCAATTCGTAAGTAATGACACTCAATTGGGTGTACAAGGTACCAGTCTGGGCACCTAGAAAAGCACTTAGATTGCCTTATTTTCAACTTCACAATTTAAATTTCCAATATGAGAAAAAATAATTTAGTTTTTTTTTTTCATATTTTGTTTTTCATTAAACCAGATTTCAATATTTTTGCACTAGCGACTTTATTATGATTAAAACCTTATTCTTCAGATATTACGTAAATAACCTTATTCTTTGTTCCTAATTCTAAGATGAATTTGGCTTTAAAAACTATATCAATCTATGTTTAATGCTCCCATATATTTCCAAGATTTTATCAGTCTTTGGTTCATGAATGCATTGCTTCTATCTCGCTACTGTTATCTTTGATGACTAGCTGTTGGCAAAACAATATTCAAATTGCAATGAGAAGCAGATTCAAGGATATTTGTTGTAGATTTGTTGCTTCTATCTTGTTATAAATTTTTTTCTTTGAAATGTTCTGTGGGACTGTTTTAATGCTTATATATATAATGTCTTGTTATCTGATTACGACCTCAGCATAGCATTCAATTAATGAAGACTTCACCAAAAATATTATTCCTTATTATCTGTTCTTTATAGAGCGTGGCTTATAAATAGTCGTGGAATTGCCAAAAAAGTGAAGAATGCAGCCCTCTATTCTAACTATCAAATCAGAGACCTCGGAACTGAAGCAAATCGTGAATGTCCGAATTGCAAGTATGTTATTGATAATAGTGATGTAAGTCTCCTTGATGCCCATTCATTAGTTTTTGAACTTTTTCACATTCTATAAATGGTATATAGCTACAAATTGGTGGTTTCTTTCAATTCATCCCATTATAGAAGAACATTTACTTATTTGCTAATTCTTTCAACAGCATTCTTCATCTTGTCTTCTAACTATTTAAATTACACAATTATATAACTAAAGCTAAATGAATTTGACAGTAAAAATTAAGTGTGCGTAAGTAATATGCTACACAAGGTTAACTAGGTGTATGGTTATATAAATAAGATATGCATATGTGATGTAATGGGCAAGCTCAATCAAAATAGATTCACACAACAATATAAGTTATATCAATCAAGTTTCCTTACACCAATGTTGCAAAGACATGCTAGGTAATAGTGATATATAAAATAATTGTGCAAGCAAAGAGAGCTTTAGATAATGGGAGCACTTAACATAAATTCAACTTTATATGAGTAAACACGTGGATATGTATATTACTTATCACAAGAATAATTAATCTAGGCAATTATAAATATGTAAACAGGTACAATGTAAGTAATATGAAGCTATGAAGAATTAAACATATGAAAGATTTTTATGTGATTCGGCCTCCCAAAGTCCACACGTGTCCATGCCCAGCTACCAATCCAAATAGGATTCTACTAACTAAATCAAAAGCTTTATTCAATGGGGTAAACCCTCAAGTAAACCAAGAGAAGAAACTTAAGAAAAAGTATGTGTTTCTAATACGCACTCAATAAACAATCAAACAAATATATAAAGTCAATTACATAAGAGTATTGTACAACACAATTTTTACATCTAAGAAACGAAACATTGGCAGGTGAGTTGTCTTCCTTATACAACTCAATTATAATTATTTATTCGGCCCGTGGGTATTCAAGCTTCGGCTTATGATACATCCATGGCTTCAATTTGGGGTTCATCCTTTGGTTCATCATTCTTATAGTCGAGTCTCATTGGCCCATATAACTTCTTAAATTTATTACTTATACTTGAAAAATAAAAAAAGAATTTGATCCTATAATTTAAGTATTAGGAAATATATAAGATAAAAATATCATCACATAGGTTGCTTAGCATTAAAAGTATCAAGCTAGCTTCTATTATATTGGTCATGCCTGTATAGTACTTGTAAATAGGGCATACAAACAAACTTTATTAGATGATAATAATTTAATAAATTTTTTTTTTAGACATGTTTACCTATATGAAAAAACACTTATAGGTAAATGTCCCGAATACAAACAATCCAATATATAATATGTCAAACATCTAAATCATATGCGCATAAAAAAAAATCTGGTCTTAGGATGCTTCGATGGTTGTACATCTAAGCATGTGCTGGCTTGTATGATCTGTCATATTATGATTAGATATTTTGTTTAATTGTGGAATAGGAAGTGATTTAAATTTTAAGTTAGGAGTGGTTTCACTTTAAGTTATAAATAATGTAAACATGTTATTTGATTTTTAGACATGTTTAATATTTTTAGAGGGTTATGAAGAATACATGGAATAATCATTACTTGTTTTGAGGCAAGTTTGTGTCATTGAATCTTAAAATTCAAAGATATGTAATTTCAAGTTTTGGGGGTAAAATGATCCATCTTTATATAAAAAAAATTTATGCATATTTTAAGAATTTTAATGAATTTCATTAGTGTTTAAATATGATAGAAGTGTTTGCTTAATAAAACAAAATAAATTGCCTCAAGGGTTGACTCAGGATTTGATGAAGTTCGGTTAATTAAGACAAATTTTAAAAGATATAAGCTTCTGATTAAGGCCTTGTTTGGGACGGCTTTCTTACTGCTTCTTAAACATCTTTCTCGTATAAAAATTTAAATTTTTATACTAGAAATATGTTTTAAGAAGCAGTAAGAAAGCCGCTCCAAATGAAGCCTAAAACTATAAGTTTGAGTTTTAATTGTCATTAGGGATGAAATCACTTGTTTTGACTAGGTGATGAAATTTTAGAGTTTGGGTCTAAATGGATAGGTTATCTATTTGATTGGGTCAAGTAGGTGGGCCTTGACTTTGAGGCCAAATGCAAGGGAGAATAGATTTAATCTTTAGCTTTTTGGGCTAGGGATTGGAAGATTTCCTATGACTTCGATGCTATAAGGAAGATGAGGGATTTCCTAGGACTTTTTAGCTCATAGGAATAAGGGATGATTTGTAATTTTAGGATTATAAATCAAGAAGAAGTCATTGGATTTTTGTAACTTTGATGAATTTTATTTGCTTGGCTTGGGTCAAGCAATGTTGGGAAACTATGATTAGAATTCTAGCTTGTGGTGAAAATCTGTTGGAGAATTTTTGTTGTCCTTAAACGGATTTCATACTTTATGATCGAGTACAACATAAGAATGATGATATATTACCCCGAATGGTAAAAATATCATTTTCTTATGAACTCAATGATAAAATTTATAATTTAACAGAGATTCCCTCATTCAATATTTGGTTGAGTGCGGTTTATTTATTTTGGGGTATAGATATCACATAGGGGCAAGCCCTTATGGTTAATTACATCTCAAGTTTTGGTGCTTAAGAATACTTTTGATTAAATTATTGGTTTTCTTTTCTTTTGAAAGTCATTTAAACATTAAATTGCCTAAATTTTTGATTTTTTTAAATCTATGAAAGTTTTGTTTGAAGGGTTTTGACCTTTAAGAATTTTAAGGAAGAATCAACCATTAAAAAAGCGGACGAGGCATCCGCATTGAGTCGTGCCTCTAGTCGAGGCGGAAGTCATGTGTATCGGGGCTTACGCCTCAAACCATCCAGCGAAGCCTATAATTTTTCGCACGAGGCGTACGCATCAGAGCGTAATGCCTTGAGGCAGTACGAGGCACTGCCTCGAATTTTTTTCCTTGGTATATATGTAAATACGATGCAGTCGATTCGTGTCTGCGTATAGGATTAGGGCTTCCTGTTAGAATTGAAAGACAAACTGGAGGCAAAGTTGTGAGGGAAACAGCGAAGCCGTGAGGGAAGGAGACGAAGCCGTGAGTGCAGGAGACGAAGTCGGAAGGAGGCGACGCAGGAAACGAAGCCAAAAGCAATAACGGTTTCGAAAGCAGGAAACAAAGTCGAAGTTGTGAGTGCAGGAAACATTCAGGCCTCAGTTAGGTCGGAAGAGCAGGTGAGCGGTGTTATTGGCCTTAACTTTGACGTGCAGTAACGAAAGCTTGAATAACTTCTGATTCAGCTTTCTTTCATTCGTCCGCTCAGTACATGCTCGGTATCGAACAGGTACATGCTCGGTACCGAACAGGTACATGCTCGGTACCGAACAGGTACATGCTCGGTACCACTCCGTTCATGCTCGGTACTACTCCGTTCATGCTCGGTACAGAGCCAGTACTGCTCGATACCGAGCAAATACTTGCTCGGTACCGAGCGGTACATAATCGGTACCACTAGGTAAACGTTCGGTACCGAGCCAGTACCGCTCGGTACCGCTCAGATTGAGCATATACAACAAGCAGAATTCTAAAATTACTCTTTTAATAAAATTTTGTTCCGGGGGCGCTCAGTATTAAGCAAGTCGAACCCTGCTAGGGGGCAGCGCCCCCTTGGACCCCCGGCAGACCGGTATATTATTGTGTTCATGTTGTCTTATTATTGGTAGTACAAATAATTGTTAAAATCTGTCCTATCTGATGTTGATTATTTATTTCTATAAATTATTAGCATGACTAGTGGCACAAGAAGGAAAGATCCTGCATGAAAATATAGAACTCAAGTTGAAGTGTCAGGCGAAGGTGCAAAGAAGGGATATGTTTATATGAAATGTAATTTTTGTGAGAAACGCATAACTGGTGGCGTCAAGAGGTTGAAGGATCATTTAGCCTGCACTCATGTCAATGTGGGACCATGTGCAAAAGTACCTGATGAGGTGAAAAAGGAATGTACATATTATTTAAAGAAGTTTGCCACCACAAGGAGGTCACACAAAGAAATATGGAAGAGATGATAGGAAACTCTTCTTACCATAGATCACAACATGAAGGTTCCAGTAGTGGAAGCCATCTAGTTTCTTCTAACCGAGGCACTCGGGGTCCTATAGATAGATTTATGATAAATATTGATGACGAGGATAACATAAACACTCAAGATCTTCAGCCTCCTACAACTACAAAAGAACTCAGGAATAGAGTTTGTTTGGATATCGCCAGATTCATCTATGAAAATGGGATTCCATTTAATGTTGTTAGAAGTCTGTCATGGATCAATATGTTACGATTTGTTGGAAGCTATGGAAGAGGACTACAACTTCCAAGCATGTATGAGCTGAGGACTTGGATGCTGAATGAGGAGGTTAAGACAACTTTAATAATGGTGGATGATATTAAGAAGACTTGGATTGAGACAGTAGTAATAATAATGTCAGATGGTTGGTCAGATATTCGACACAGAAGTATCATTAATTTCTTGTTCAATAATCCATATTGAACAGTTTTTCTCAAATCAGTAGATGCTTCAAGCTTTGTAAAGGATGCACAATTATTGTTTGAAATGTTGGATAAAGTTGTGGAGGAAGTGGGAGATGTCTTAGTAGTACAAATTGTTACTGATAATGCAAGTGCATACAAAATTGCAGGGAGAATGTTAATGGAGAATAGGCCTCACGTTTATTGGACTCCTTGTGCTGCACATTGTGTTGACTTGATGCTTGAGAGGTTAGGACAGTTGCTTCAATATAAATCAGCCATATTGAATGCCAAATATGTTAGTAAGTTTATATAAAATCATTCTTGGGTACTCAGCTTGATGAGAAAATTCACTAATAAGGAAATTATTATACCTGCTGTTACAAGATTTGCTACTGCATATTTAACATTGCAGAGATTCAAGGAGTTAACCTTTGGAAGCAATGTTAGCTTTTGACGAGGGATAAAAGTTCATGGGCCAAAAAACAAGAAGAAAAATAAGTTAAAAAGATTGTTATGAAAGAAGATTCATTTTGGCGCAATACAAATTATGCTTTGAAGACAACATGACCATTAATAAAGGTGCTTAGAATGGTTGATGGTGAGAGGGCACCGGCTATGTGATTTATTTATGAAGCAATGAATAAGGCTAAAGAAGACATTACAAAAGAATTGGGAGGTCAAGAAAGTGCTTACAAAAAAATATGAAATATTATAGATAAAAAGTGGGATCGACAATTACGCCAACACTTACATGCTGCTATTTACTATTTAAACCCCCAATTTCATTATGATAAGGATTTTCATGTTGACAAAGTGGTGAAAATTGGTTTGTATGCATGTATGGACAGACTCATTTCTGAAGAAGACTACCTCAAAGTGAATGATCAACTTGAGGATTTTCATTTGAAGAAGGGAATGTTTGGATTTAGAGTAGCACAAGCATGCTACAAAACACGATCTTCTGGTATGTTTAAAGTTTGTGTATTTATAATTTTAATGTTAATATTTATGTTCAAGTCTTCTACTTCAATCAATATTCATAAAATATTATGTTGGTCTTTATGTAGAACGTTGGTGGGCTCAGTTTGGAGATGATGTTTTTGAATTGAAAGCTTTTGCAGTTAAAGTTTTTAGCCTAACGTGTTCGGCTTCTGCATGCGAGCGTAATTGAAGTATCTTCAATCAAATTCATATAAAGAGAAGAAATCGATTGATGGCAGATCGAATGAACAAATTAGTTTATGTTATGTTTAACAAAAAACTGAAAGATAGACATTTCAAATTACAGAATCAAGGAAATATTGAGAATGAAATTGACCCTTTGCTTGTTGATGAGTTACAATATGATGATGAATGTGTTACTCCTAAAAATGCTGATGTTTCTGAAGTTGAAGCAGAAGAGAAACTCATGTCAATGAAAAAGACAATGAAGCAACTACCCAAGTATATAAAAGAAAGAAATAAAGTGAGATTGGAGCTTCAAAAAAATTCAAAGGTATTCTTATATATAATAACTTATTTTGTATGTTACTATTGTTTCATTTTAGAGCTAATAAAATATTAACTGATATAGAAGATAAAGGAAAAAATATAATAGATGAAAAAGAGTTTGAGGATGACTTTGACATTAATTATGAAGATTCTTCTAAAAACAATCAAAGTGATGATGAACTTGCTTTGAGTCTTGATCGTAAGGGGATGTTTTATTTTTAAGTGAGTTTATTTTAAATCTTGTATTCCAGTAATATTATCTTAAAAAAAATCTTCAAATTCATAGTTGACATAATATTTTGTTATTTTTTGTCATTATTTATAATTTTAAATTAATTTATTTTAAGCGTTTTGAGGCTTACGCCTCGATTCGCCTCGAGGCTTACGCCTCGCCTCGCTTAGAAAAAATGCCTCGATTTCCGATTTCATCTTTTAAAACGTTGGGAAGAAGAGATCAACTTAAAATAAGATTTTGAAATGAGAGTCAAAGGAGGTGAAGTAGGAGCATTTGATTTTGATAAATCTCAAAGGTGCTCAGACTAATCTATATTGGGCTTTATATTTTTGAACTCTAATTTTGTTTGAGTTGATCATTTTGATTAGAATGTTGGGGTTTATATTCTAACAACACATGTTAAAGGAAATGCCCTGAAGGTGAGAACTTGTATGGTGATTGAAATCAACCATTGCCTCGGATCCTAAAACTATGGTGAGGACTACCGAGAGGTAGTACTTCGAACCTAAGTTTAACGGAATGCAAAATAGACTTCCAAACTACGCCTCACATAAGGCATAGCTAGCCCGACTCCTGGATTTATTGCCCTGCTTGGAAAGGGCTACCAGCTAAACCCACCTAGTCGCTTTTAAAACTATGATTTTGGTCTCAATGCATATGAAGAGTGAAAGGTTATTTTTGTTTAGGTAGTAGGGTTATAACTTTACTTTGAAACCAAGATGCCTAGTTATGATGGGTATGCAGAATGCTGACTTATAAATGCAGATTTTTTTTGATATCTAGTTCTTAAGTGAAGGCTTTTCTACATGAGACACATTTTGGTTATGCATGCTCAATTTAAATTTTGGAAAGCTTGACTCCTTGAAAGGGAGCCATGTAATTTTCTTTCTTATTCAAAAAATTATGAAGCCTAAATTGATTTTAAGTGATTTACATTTTAAAGGGTAGAAATCTTAAATTTTCCCTAAGATTTTACCGTATCAAATAGTCCTAGCCACCCCAAGCAAGACAAGAAAGAAATCTAGAAAAAAATATGCTTTTCTATTGCTCACCCAATAAATAATCAACACATGCTTGTATATATAAATCAAATGCAAGAAATGTAAATAGAGTCCAAATTATTACAATCAAATTTGACAGTTGAGTTGCCTGCATTATACAACCCAGTCAAATTTTAATACAGATTCTACTTATGAGGGTCTTCAAGCTTTTGACTTCTGAATGAACATTGAGCTTCACCTTCAGCAGGTACATCATTCTAGTTGACTTCTTTTGATCCAAACCCCCACAAGTTTTATTACATCCTAATTCTATCAAATACATATTTGAAAAGAAAAAGACTCAAGCCTGCAAGGCAATGGATTAGTAGCAGTTTATATAGGGTTGAACGTTGAAGTCTACTCTAGGGTTTATTGTAGGCGACGGAATGAATGCAATACCATAAGCTTTAGGCTCTCAAATGAGAGCAACCTGTTGGAAATCTCTTGATTTCTACGAGTTTGCGATGTTTTTAGCAAGTGTGTGGGGATTTGGTTTGGGACGGCTTTTTTATTTCTTTCTAAAACGGAGTTTTAGTACAAAAAATAAAAAAATTTGTACTAAAACTCTGTTTTAGAAAGCAGTAAAAAAGCCGTCCCAAACGAAGCCTTAGAGCTTGGAGAGTGTCATACGCATGTTCACCTGTCTAAATTTCAGAGATATACCTTACTGAAGCTAATGTTCTGTGAATTTCGCCCCCAGTGCTTTTGTTTTTATGAGACGAAAGCACTTGAAATGAAAGGAAGCCCGCTGTTTGGGAAGTCGCCTCCACCAACACCTCGCTGGAGTTGATATTCTACTATCTCTGCCCATTAATTTTGAAAGAAGTAAAAGCACCAGCACAAGTTTCAGCTACCCTCTTCACTTAAAAGCCTAAGGTAAATATGATGAAGATCATCTCAACCACTAAATTTTGGAAGGCAAAAACAGCATCTCAGCTATTCTCTCCCAGCCCAATAGCCACACCCTCTCAATTTCCCCTTGGATGCATGCAGAAAGAAACCCAAGCGCATGTAAGCCTCTCCCCTCACTATTAATTATTCTATGCTCTAGAGGCCAATCATAATGCATCACATCACCCCTTCGCTCGATACCGCCGCTCGATTGCATTCTAATTGGTCTACGGACAGTGTTTTGCGTCCGACCTTCGCACAAAATAATCTCTCCTCCCTTGCAGTTCGGCCCAGGTGCACGCGAGAAGATGCTCGGATTTACTCCAGGATACCCACACGCAACTCTTAGGTCGCAGGTGTCCCCGCCCACCTCGGCTTGCTCTTAGTTATGGAAAGTCGAAGAGAAGTGCTCTCTTGGTCTCGCACTTGTAGCTAAGTTCTCAAAGCCACAAGGAGCTTCCCACTCTTTGTTGCTGAAGATGCTGTAACTGATAATGAAAAAAGCCGCTCCTTGCCCGTCTGTACTCTATCCTTCGTATGGACAACAGGAAGAAAGCCCCCAAGCCCTTTTACTCTCAGCCGCTTGGTTTTCCAAAAATACTCGGATTTGTTGCAGTTATGATGGGCTTGGGGTGCTGGCAGATGCAGAAATTGTCGGAAAAAACAGGAGCTGTAGCGGATTTTATTGTCTTTAAGGTAATCACAGCATTTCATTGCCATTGCCTGATTTAAAATGGTTGCATTAGGAAATGTTGAATTGATTGGGTTAGGTTAGGCTTGATTTGAGTTCAATCTAGGTTCCGTTAGACTCAATTGAGCCGCTTTGGTTCAAAACTTGAATCAGCAGTTTAAAAAATACATAAAAAATTAAATCAAATATAAACAAATTGAAAACGCATCTAAATTTATATGTGATTTTTACTAAGTTTTGTATGCAAAAGTTAAATTGTATTTCATGGATAAAATAGTTTTTGGCAAATTTTAGGATAATTACCATTTTAGCATGTGAGGTAGTTTGAATTTAAATAAGGTATATATGATGATTTGTGTAATCGAATGTCCATATGTTGTAAAAATACTTTTATGATTTATTTTAACCATTTTAAAGATTGTAAGAATTATTTTGAGGTTTTTGGTAATGCTCATATTCAATCAATACATCTTTAAAACACCTTAAGAAAATTAAGCAGATAACCTGGGCTGCTGATCTTGATAATTTTTCCACTTTAATCTTAATATCATTTCACCTCTAGACCCATCTCTAAATGTTAAATATTACATGCATTTGAAGTGATCATCTTGATGATTGCTATTGATTGTTGAAGTGATCATCTTGATGAACTTATAGAGAATAATTTGCAAATAATTAGACCAATGCGTAAGTTATATGTTTAATATATCTGTTATCATCAAATCAAATAATGAGATACTGATATGTGTATGCTTGGCATATTTCAATTTTCACATGTATCATCCTGTCAAATTGCTTGGCGAATGAAATGCATAAACTCGGAAAAAGTATCATGCAAACTTGGGCATGTCCATACTTCGTAAAAATTGACCACATATCTTTGGCCCATCCCAGTAAAATTAATCTTGTGTAACGTTTAAGTTTGATCGCAATTATTTATCCATTTTAAGAGATCATGGCTAAAGCGTTCATGTGACAGTCGGTGGAAGCAGCTGAAACATGTTAACAGAAGTTACCCAAATATGATCATACCTATTTGCCTTTTTCTACAGGTTTCTTTGGATTGGCCTGGCCTTCCTGCGGGTGTAAAGTTTGACCCCACTGATGTAGAACTTCTAGAGCATCTAGCAGGAAATGTTGGGGCTGGGATGTCCAAGGCCCATATTTTCATAGATGAATTCATCCCAACACTTGATGGAGATCAAGGAATTTGCTATACGCATCCTGAGAATCTTCCTGGTAAGAAGCTTGCCAAGGTCCTTTCTACATTGATGCTTAGTATTTGAAGAGCAGTCACTACACCTTTTTATATTCGTTAGGTGTCAAAAAAGATGGAAGTAGTGCTCATTTTTTTCACAGAACATCAAATGCATATGCAACTGGATGCAAGAAGCGCAGGAAGATACGCAATGAATATAGTGAGTCTGAAGAACGTGTTAGGTGGCACAAAACTGGTAAAACCAAACCTGTGGTAGAGAGTGGTGTTCTGAAGGGCTGGAAGAAGATTATGGTTCTATACAGAAGTTTGGGGAAGGGCTGCAAGCCAGATAAGGATAATTGGGTGATGCATCAGTACCATCTTGGGACAAATGAAGATGAAAAAGACGGGGAATTGGTTGTTTCAAAGGTTTTTTACCAGCAGCATACAAAGCATGTGGGTAGCGGTGAGGCTGAAATATTACCTGATGAATTAGATAGTTCAAATATTAAAAACTGTCCAAGAACCCCAAAAACGACTGCACCACAGCCACCACGCTTCAAAATGAATTCGTTACGTGAAGCTGATCAACACGATCATCTTCCCTTGCCAGTTCAGGTATGTGCTATCCTTTTTGTTTTCTATCTTCGTCTAAATTACAATGCTGCATTGATCCCCTTAGTTAATGTGTTCTGTAGATTGCCGAATATTTGAATTAATTGCACGCTTGAAATACACTTAAGGTAAGAAACATGCAGTATTGCTGCATCTTTAACTTCAAATATTGCAAGCAACTAGATTTCCAATGCTGCAACTGTATGAGTTAAGACAGGATAGCATTTACTTGAAAGTAATATGCATTCCTTCCTTTAAAGCAGAAAAACAAAATGAACTAGGAAATATTAACCTGAGTACATCTTCAGGAGAAACGTCCAGAAGAGGAATCAATGCCATCACCATTTCCCATTATCTGTCTTAAGGATGAACATAATGGCTCTGCTTGTTGGGCTGATGAATCTCAAGCCATTCAGGAACCTGAGACAGAGAAGATTTATGAGTCGTTGTTATGCCATGAAGTGCTTTTTCCTTTCACTAGCATTGGGGGATCATCTCCACAATTTGACCATCTAGAGATTGCTGATGGCAATAAAGAACAGCTTAAAAGAGATGCGAACACAGATGACGGGTTCTCTTGTCTTGAGGACATAGATATTGACACTCCATCAGACTTTCACCTTTCGGTAAGAGTTCCAGTGCTGTTTTTTGGGAGCCTTGCGTCTATTGCATTCTAATTCAAATTCATATATGAAATAAGTGTTATGTTTTTGTTTGATTGTTGATGCTTCTAAAAATACTATGACATTGAGATCTAAATTGAATCATTAGAAATGGAAGGTTTTGATGAATTTTTTATTCTGCTGTATGAATATCACAGCGAAGTGCCATTTTATTATTAGCCATATCACACGTGGCAACTGTTCATTCGCCACTAGAGTTACTTAGAATAGGCCTGTGTTATTTCTTATCCTGTGATTCTATATAAAGACCACTGTACACCTCTTTTGATATAATGAAAAATATAGTTTCTTTATCCTCTGTTTCTTTCTTTGTTCTGGTCTTGGTCCGGTGATTTCTACATGGTATCAAGAGCCTAAAGCATCCTTCGGTTCTTTGAATGGCTCAAACAACAGCCACATCAATGGCCACCTCCACCTCCCCTCCATCTCCAGCTCCGGCGGACATCTCCGCCAATCTTCAAGATCACTTCTCTACCACTGCTATCCCATCTTCGCTTAAATTCTTGATGCAAACAATCAAGAATGTTATCACGCAACCTCTCACCTCCGACAACCACGCCCTCTGGCGATCGCAGGTCGTAAAACTGTTTCGTGCAAATGGCTATGAAGGATTCCTAACTGGATCTACCAGCTGCCCTCCACCGCTCATCCCCGACACCTCCGGCCAAACCATCAAAAACCCGGTACACGACACCTGGGTACTCATAGATCAAAATCTTGCAGCCGCCCTCTACTCTGTAATCAACCCGACTATACTTCCCTATGTTCTTTCTTTAGACCACTGCGTCGACATATGGAAAACCCTTGATCTTAGGCTACAATCTTGCACAAGATCAAGAATCAGTCAACTGAAAAATGAACTCCACTTTCTTTCCATGAAAGAAAACTCCATGACTCAATACCTTCTTGAAGTCAAAACTAAGGTGGACGCTCTAGCCGCCGCAGGTGCACCAGTCGAGGTCGAAGATATTATACACTATACACTCAATGGCCTCCCCAACAGCTACCAAGCCTTCAAGACCGCCATTTGTACCAATCTCCGGTCGGTAAGCCTTGACGAACTTTATACTCTATTATGCAGTGAGGAACTGAACCTGGCGCACGAAACATCCAAAGATCTCCGGGCCCTCCAGCTCAATGGCAACTCCACAGCGTTGGCAGCCAGCTGCGGACGTGGCCGCGGTCGTTCCTCCTCGACTCGTGGGAGATCCTCCAATCGCCCCAACTATAATACCACCACAAACCGCAATACCAAGCCACCTAGACCACAAATTACATGTCAAATCTGCAGAAAATTCGGTCACTCAGCCATAAAATGTTGGCATTGACACAACGAGGACTACAACACCGAACCTACGTCAGCGCTGTTCACTTCTCCTTCTCAAGTTGGCTCCAATGAATGGTTCCTTGATAGCGGAGCCTCCGCTCATCTAACCTCCGATCCTACGCAGCTACAACAACCACAGCCATATCAAGGATCAAACCAAATCGTTCTCGGCAATGGGCAACAGCTTCCGATTCAAAACACGGGTAAAGGTATCTTGCCGATGCCATCAGGTAGTCTCCAACTAGCAAATCTAAATCTCGTCCCGAATCTTGCGTTTAATCTTATATCCGTCCATAAGCTTACTACTGACAATAACTGTCTGATTACCTTCTCATCCAACGGCTACGAAATTAAGGATCGGACGAACCACCGGCTTCTTCTCACGGGTCATGTTATTGACGGCCTGTATCCTCTTAAAGCTGCCGGTCATTCAAACAAACAACTTGCTCTTCTCTCCGTTCAGCACATACCAGATTTATGGCATCGCAGACTAGGCCATCCTTCTATTCAAACTCTTCGGCTAATCACCAGAAGTCACAACGACATTGTTATTCCTACCAAGCTTAATAACTGTAATTCTTGTAAAATGGCTAAAAGCCATCGGCTACATAAGCCGCCGTCTCAAACTACTTCTACTTCCCCATTCTTTTTAGTGCATTCCGATGTATGGGGATCGTTTCCCGTGGTCTCTCCAACCGGATTTCATTAGTATGTATCGTTTATTGATGATTTTACTAAAGTCACATGGATCTTTCCTTTAGTTTATAAGTCTGAAGTTTTTACTAAGTTTCTTGATTTTTCTCAGCTTATATATCGTCAATTTAACAAAAAGATTCGTATACTTCGCACCGACAACGGAGGGGAATACATCAACAACAAGTTCAAAACGTACTGCAACTCGACAGGGATTATTCATCAAACAACATGTCCGTACACCCCATCCCAAAACGGTGTCGCCGAACGAAAACACTGCCACCTAATTGAAACAACCAGAACTTCGCTACTCCAAGCCTCGGTCCCGCAACATCATTGGGTGGACGCTCTGCTAACAGCAAACCATCTCATTAACCGCATGCCTTCCCGGAATACTCAATCCAAGTCACCATATGAACTCCTATACAAACAAACACCTGATTACAAACACCTTCGGATTTTTGGAACTCTTTGCTACCCGTGGCTCAAGCCACATTCCTCAAATAAACTCTCACCTGTCTCTAAACCTTGTGTTTTCATTGGGTATCCTGATTCTCAGAAAGGGTATAGATGCCTTGACCCAATATCTAACCAAGTCTATACCTCTTGCCACGTTATATTCGATGAATCCATATTTCCGTTTGCTTCACTGTATCCACCAAATTCAATCCACTCCACCGCTAATCTCTACACACCACCACTGCTTCTCGTTCCAACATCCACCCCGTGCACTCCTCAGCACAGCACACCTCATATATCATCCCATAGTAATTATACCCCTCCGGCACCTCAAAATACCAACACCAACTCAACAGAAGTCATTACTTCAACTTGCTCGTCTCCTCACCCGAGTTTATCTCAACCGGAACACACTTCACCCATTATACCCACGTCCACCCATCCCATGGTAACCCGGCTGCGTCACGGCATTTCAAAACCAAAGAAAGTATTCAATCTGGCTCACTCAGTTCAACACATCGAGCCTACTACTTATCTTCAAGCAGCCAAATCCGAGCACTGGCGAACTGCAATGTCTCAAGAGTTTCAAGCACTCATGGCTCAAGGAACATGGGAACTAGTACCACCGCATCCTAATCAAAATGTCCTCGGCTCAAAATGGACGTTTCGACTCAAATACAATGCGGACGGTTCAATCCACAGATACAAAGCTCGACTTGTCGCCAAAGGGTACGACCAAGAACATGGCCTTGACTACACCGAAACGTTCAGCCCCGTCGCCAAAATAAGTACTATTCGGGTCTTCATACTCATTGCTTTACACTACCAGTGGGACATCCAACAACTAGATGTATCCAATGCGTTCCTACACGGTCATCTTTCCGATCTTATATTTATGAAACAACCTCCGGGATTTCAAGATTCCACCTATCCGCACTATGTCTGCAAGCTCAAGAAAGCACTATATGGTTTAAAACAATCACCGAGGGAATGGTATGCTACATTATCTAATCACCTTATCAAACTCGGCTTCAAAATCAGCAACTCAGATCCCTCTCTACTCACCTATAAATCGGGTGACACTCGGCTCTACATACTTATTTATGTCGACGACATTCTACTCACAGGTAATTCTCAATCCGAAATTAATAATCTTTTGTCTAACTTACACTCTGCTTTTCAGATGCGGAATCTTGGATCCCTCAACCAATTTCTGGGCATCCATGCTGTTAAAACAAACTCAGGCATTCTATTACACCAACAGCACTATGCCAAAGCTATCGTTGAACGTGCTGGGATGACTCAATCCAAGCCGGTCTCTACTCCAATCGCTTGCAAGATTACAACATCATCCACCTCTCAAGAGCCCTTCTCCAATCCTCAGCTATACCGACACATAATCGGTTCTCTACAATATCTCACTCCGACGAGGCCGGATATTCAGTTCGCTGTTCACCAGTTATGCCAGCATATGCAACATCCACTCAATCAGCATTTCGACGCACTCAAACGTCTTCTTCGGTTCATCAATGGCACCACGAACACCGGCATCCAATTCCACTCGCAGGACCTCACGCTACGCGGTTATGTAGATGCCGACTGGGCAAGCAATTCGCTCGACCGCAAGTCTATCTCCGGGCATTGCCATTTCATGGGAAACTCACTCATCTCATGGCAAGTTAAGAAACAGAATACAATCGCCCGCTCATCTACAGAGGCGGAATATCGCGCTCTTGCGTTCGCCACAGCCGAAATTATATGGCTTCGGCAGCTACTTGAAGATTTTCACATCCCTCAAACCAACCCCACCGTCATATACTGTGACAACACCTCGGCCATTGCACTCGCCAACAATCCAGTTTTCTATGCCCGGACCAAACACATTGAAGTTGACTGCCATTTCATTCGAGAACATATCCGGAACAAAATTATCACCGTCCACCACATCTGTTCCGCCGATCAACTAGCCGACTTCTTCACCAAAGCTCTTCCTACCACCAGGTTTCAACTAATGGCAAACAAACTCACAGCAGCCTTGCAACCGCAAGTTTGAGGGGGGCTATTAGCCATATCACACATGGCAACTGTTCATTCGCCACTAGAGTTACTTAGAATAGGCCTGTGTTATTTCTTATCCTGTGATTCTATATAAAGACCACTGTACACCTCTTTTGATATAATGAAAAATATAGTTTCTTTATCCTCTGTTTCTTTCTTTGTTCTGGTCTTGGTCCGGTGATTTCTACATTTATCATATACTTTATAGTGTTGATTGAATTCTAATTTAGAACAAATGGTAGAATTTGTAATTCATTGGGCTCTCAAAAGTTTTCTTTCAATAAGATATATGCCGTGCAATACCAGTGGCATTTCAAAATAAAAGTACTAAAACGACTCTGATCTCATCCTATCTCGCATTAAGATTTCTTTCTAAAAAAATTAATATTAGCATTAATTGGGTTCCCTGCGCTTCAGGATTTGCAATTTGGTTCTCAAGATAGCATCATGAGCTGGTTGGACCGCATTTGATGGTTGGCATGCAGCTTACATTCTGGAATAGCACGACAAATCATTTGATTGAGGCCAAGTTTTGAGTTCCGTTCAGGATTTCGATGATTCTCTTTAAAAAAAATCCGAGGTCCAATTTTCCTGGTTCAATGCTGTCATAAACTATCAAACTCTCAACTATACAGCATCTTAGCTGAGAATATCATCTAGAATTAAACTTTGTAAAAAGGCATTAGTTCTTTTGTTGCTAGTTGCTCGATGAGAAAAATCTATTGCCTTTGATTTCTTGTTTTGTAAATTATTGGCTCTTCCAAAAAATTTTCAGATGTCAGGCTGCAAATGGTTATTACCTGGAGGACTTTTATTAGTGAACGAACATGTTTTTCAATATTTTCTTTTTTTCTACTAATTTCTGTTTGAGATTTGTATTTCGTCTGGGATAAATTTTTTACTGTTTTTTCAAATAATTTTTTATTATAAAAATTTTAAGTTTAAGAAATTTTTTTTATTAAAAAGTTATTTGAAAAAAAATAATTAAAAAACTGTCTCATACGAAGTCTTATATTGAAAGTAGAAATGGCTTTGAACCACTAGTCTAGTAATGTATAGCCTGTTTCATTCATTACTGAGACTTTTATATCACAATGCTCGTTGCTGGACACAAGCTTCCATTGCCTGTTCAGTCGTGTTTGATCCTAGTTTGGCATATTCATAGATTTTTTACTGTTATCAATGAGGGGAACCTCAGCTTTTGGAATGTTAGAATGCTATGTATCATAAAGAACTGGGCTGCTAAGAAAAAAACTGGGCTGTTTTGGATTATTTTTTTGTTTTTATTCTTGAAAAATATATTTGGTTTGCGTTTTATAAGTGTTTTCGCTTATCATTTTTTGAAGATAAATTGTTTTGTTCTTCCCTTAAATTCTTTAACAATTTAAAGATAATTTTTTATTTTTTTAAAATAAAAAACATAGACCTGTGCTAGCCATTGTTATTGATCACTGTTGCCGGCCATCATTTTTGGTCGTAATAATTGTCCTATACAATATTAAAAATAAATATTAAATTTGATATTAAATTTATATTTATTTCATATTAAAAGATAGATAAAATAAATAATATATATATATAAGTTAAAAATAAAATGTGAAATCAAATGACCTCTTTAATATAAGGTTTTAAGTATTTGATTTTTATTTATTTTAGATTTATATTAGAAGCTAAATATAATTGTTGCATATTGATAAATTTGTAATGATAGTTTTTTTTCTCTTAGCGATGCAGCATATATAGCAGACAAATAATTGAGAAAGTAAGGAAATATCAAATTTTTTTTCATGGAATGTTGTGGATTGATAAATTTGTGGTACTAGAGAGTATTTGTTTTTGCGATGCATGAATGTCTAGCATATAAATAGATAGTTGAGAAAATAAGAAAATACTAGATTTTATTTTACATGCAAAACCCAAAGTGGAAAAACACATGACTTAGCTCAAGTGAGGCATCTAATTTAACTATAAATTTATTGCAATCTCAGCTCGGATGGTCCAAAATTTAATTTTGAAAATTTTCAAATCAGACTTGCATCAAGATTTGTGCATAATAAAGGTAGTTTTTTGTGATGTATGAGTTGCTCTCCTATTTTAAAATGTTAAAACATACAGAATATCAAAATATGTTAGTCTTCCAAAAGTTTGCAACACAAGATTTCAATTTTTGATAAATTATTAGGCACAAGCGCTTCCCAGATGTAAATATGAACTTCCCCTTGGGAGCATAAATTAAGTAAAATGACTTTGATTATAATTTTAGTAATTCATGACATTGGCGCATCGATCGGAGTAGAAAGGTTAAAAATTTTACTCATAAATTTTTAAATTTGCTTGAAATCAACTCTAAATGCAATATTGGGCTATGAAAAATATCAAAATTGAGTACAGAACATCGACAAATGATTTTGGGGATCCCAAAAATGTCCAAATCGGAATGTCCGGGCAAAAAAATGGGTCAGCATATGGAACTTTTATTAGGTCCTCTGACCGGACGTAGCTCTACGTTCGGTCACCACTGAGTTACTCGATTTTTGCTCGGTATTTGCTCGGTATTGCTAGGTATTACTTGGCAATAATGAGAAATACCACTCTGTGAAGACCAATACCGAGTAATACCAAAAAATACCGAGTTTTTCTAGAAAAACTCGGTATTTTTTGGTATTACTCAGTATTGCTCGGTATTTTGTCCTTAAATAATGATATTTCTTGTTATTGTTGGTATTGTTTGGTATTTGCTCGGTATTTCTCGTTTTGTGCCTGCTACGTGGCGCGATCTCAGTGCCGGCTGAACGTAGCTCTACGTACGTTCACCGGACCTAATAAAAGGACATGTCGGCCGAAACTGGCTCGTCAGCCAGTTGACGACCTGTGGCGCTCCGGTAGGTCCCCCACATGCGGACACCTCTTGTAAGGTGAGCCTGATAGTGCCCCTTTAATTCAAAAATTTTTCTTTTATTTTATTTGTTATCGCCTTTGTGAGGCAGTTATAGTGCTGCCTCTTTAGGCATAATTAATTTTTTTAATTATTAATTTTACTCTATCTCCTTTTTTATATTTCCTAAACCTTTTTTTTTTTATTTCTTAAAATTGAAAAACTTATTTGAAGCTTTAAAATTTTTTGAAAATTTCACAACAAAATATAAAAAATTCAAAAAAAAATTCAAATTCTCTCATCCATAAACCTATAAATACCCCTCTTCTGGGTGGGGAAAAAGGCACAATCTCTTGTGTAGGGCAAGGTTTTCTTCTGTAAATTGAGAGAAAAATAGAACTAGTAGAATTAGAGATTGTGACCTATTGAGAAGTCCTGTTGTCCCCTTAGAGGTTCTTTTGTGCTGGTCCAAATTTTCTTTTAGAAATTGGGAGAATAGTGGACTAGTAGAATTGGAGACTATTGGCTAAAACAAGAAGTTTGGTAATTCGTTAGTTTTTTTGTGCCAGTCCAAATTTTCTATTATAAATTGAGATAGATTTGAAGACCATTGGATGCAACATGAAGTTCGGTCATGCGTTGGTTCTCCTGTGCTGGTCCAATTTTGCTCTCATAAATTGGGAGAATAGTGGATTGGTAGATTTTAAGACTTTTGGATGCGATGAGAAGTTCGGTCATTTGACGATTCTCTTATGCCGGTCCAAATTTTCTCTCATAAATTTAGAGAATAGTGGATTAGTAGATTTGGAGATTGTTGGCTATGACAAGAAATTCGGTCATCCGTTAGTTTTCATGTGCTAGTCCAATTTTTCTCTCATAAATTGGGAGAATAGTGGATTGGTAAATTTGTAGACCAGCAACTGTGATAGAAACATGATTTCTTGATACAAGCCCCAAATTTTCTAAAGACCATCGATAGTGATTAGATAGATCAACTTTGGAGATAGGGCTCCTCCAAAATTTGAGAACATATATGAATGATAGTGCTAGGATTAGTAAATAGCGGAGCAGTGCATAGTTATTATTAGGGGGGCATTCTACTATGGGCTCAGAAAATCGGCTAGGAGATGCTTTTGCTCTCTTCTAAACTATTCTTCTTGATTCATGTTATTTTGAGCTTTTTTACTTTTGCGTTATTTGATATGATAACTATGGTGTTAATCGAATACTAATTTCATACATGTTTATTCAAGTGGAGGGCTAACAAATGCGTTAAGAGTCACCTATTCTGCTCTCGTAGTGCTAGAACATGATAAAGTTCTTCTACATATGGAGGTAGATGTTATTTCCTTCTTGCACTTTTAGCTTTTATTGGATCAAACAATCATCCCATACCTTTACATGTGGTGATAGAAGATCTCTTGGAGTAATAGCAATTGATGATGTCACACCCACCATTACTTTTGATGGCTTGGCGTTGATTCGCAAGAAGTTTTATTTACCGAATGATGTAATGATCATTACCCCAAAATGGTTTGAGTGGGCACATGCTCCTCCACATGGATTCATTATAATGTATGAGAAGACATTACTTGCAGGATTGAGGTTCCCCCATCTCCTGAGTTGCTGGAGATCTTTAAGGCATGCAATGTTGTTTTTTTACCAATTTTTGTGTAGAACAATTGATCATCATGGGCTTGAAAGTTTATTTTAGAGAATGTGAGGTGACAATGAGTGTTGAGTGCTTATCTAAAATGTGTATGTTCACAAGTGATTCTCAACTATGTCTCATGTCAGGGAAATATGAAGTGGTTGTGCTTCACAACGTGAGTTCTTTCTAAGAATTTGTCTAGATCATTCTTTTTTTGTGAAGAATTAGTGAGGCCTTTCTAAAAGATGGGGGAGGTCGAAAGAGATGCCAAACTCATCTCACTTATACTGCAAATCCTCAATTTTTTCGATATAGAAACCTTCAATAGGAACTACAAAATATTAGCCTTTCTATTATGGCAGGAAGATCTCATACAAATTGGTTGAAGAAATATGGGAAAGTTTATGAAGTAAGTCCTAATGTTATTAATTCTTCATCTAAAAAACTTTCAGAAGGTCAAAGGGAGAATCCTCCCTTAAAAAAGAAATTGAATGATAAGGTGAACTTGCTAAGTGATGGAAAAGGATGTGGGGAGGTCGTACATCCTTTGATGACTGATATTATTACCCTTACAAAACCAAGAAGTTGTTAGCTCTCATAATGAGTTGGTTAAGTC